TGCCAAGCTTGGGCGCGCATGGGCGTGCACTCCCAAGCTTGGGTGCGCATGGGCGCGCACTCTAACTGCAATGCCAAGCTTGGGCGCGCATGGGCACGCACTCTCAAGCTTGGGCGCGCATGGGCAAACACTCAAACTACAATGCCAAGCTTGGGCGCGCATGGGCACGCTCTCTAACAACAATATCAAGCTTGGGTGTGCATGGGCGTGCACTCTCAAGCTTGGGCGCGTATGGGCACGCAATACCTGGTCTGGGCACGTGTGGGCGCGCACTGAAAATAATTATCTGATCTGGGTGCGCGCGAGCAGGTATTTAAAAATAATAATAGGTCCGGGCGCGCGCGGACGCGCACTGAAAATAAATATCAGACCTGGGCGCGCGCGAGCGCACACTGACAATTATAATCAAAATTCAATCTTTGCTTGGGACTAATATACAACTGTTTGCAACAGGGTACTACTCGCGAAACTTGGCCTTCTCTTAGGGACAGACTACTATCGTCATCAAACGAGAGTTGGTCAACAGAGTATGTGCAGACTAAATACCCAGTTGAAATGGACACGTGTGCTCTTCAGTGACGGTGCACAACAACACACACACAGTTGCGAACAACAGTGTTTCTCAGTCACAGTACGCGACTGCGCACAGTTGAGAATAGCAAAATATTATGAAATGTCCCTTGCTAATGGCCCAGTGCTCAGAAAAGGCTCTTGCGATGATGGCACTGTTCATAAATAGCACCATTCAAAAATGGCTCTTTCCAAAATGGCATTGTTCAGAAATAGCACTTGCGAGTAGCACTGTCCAAAAAAAATGGCTCTTGCAAATAGCACCGAATAGCACAGTTCAGAAATGGCTTTTTGCGAATAGCACTGTTAACAAATGAATAGCGCTGGCGAATAGCACAATGCTAAAAAATGGCCCTGACGAATAGCACAATGCTCAGAAATAGCCCTGACAAAGAGCACAATGCTCGGAAATGGCTCTAACGAATAGCACATTGCTCAAAAATAGCCCTGACAAATAGCACAATGCTCAGAAATGGCTTTGACGAATAGCACATTGCTCAAAAAATGGTATGGTGCATTCTCTGCACAGTTGCGGGAATAGTCAGATATGGTTCTTAGGTACGGTGCGCTCTCTGCGCACTATTGCAAAATACTCAAATATGGCCCTCGAGTACGGCGCACACCGCTCACAGTGACCAGCTGCGAAATACTCAGATGTGGCCCTCAAGCATGGTGCGAACGGCGCATGGCCCTCAGATATGGCCCTCAAGCATGGTGCGAACAGCGCACAGTATAGTGCAAACGGCGCACAGTTCCGATATGGCCCTCAAGTGTAGTGCGAAACAGCGCACAATTCAGATATGGCCCTCAAATATGGTCCTCAAGCATGGTGAGAACAGCGCACAGCATCATGCGAACGGCGCGCTGTTCAGATATGACGGTGATATGACCCTCAAGTATGGTCCTCAAGTATGGTCCTCAAGCATGGTGCGAACAGTGCACAGCATGGTGCAAACGGCGCACTATTCAGATATGGCCCTGATATGGCCCTCAAGTGCGGTATGCACAGTTGCCAACTCGGACGTGGCCCTCGACGAAATGCTGAGTGTGACTGCGCAATCGACCTGGTGCGACTGCGCAAACAAAATGACTGCACAGGTGGTCTCAAAATCGGCTTGGTACTCGGTGAGACTGCGCTTGCAGTCTCAAAATGGACTTGGTACACGGTGAAACTGTGCTCAAAATCGACTTGTTACTCGAAGTGGCTGAGCAAACGCAATCCAAAAAGCGGCAAGTACAGCCTCAAAATCACCATCCCTATTGAGAAAGCGCAGCGTC